AAGTCTTCAAGTTTAGAGACTCGACTTTCGGGTGATCGACTTTGTTCTTGGTATGCTCCTTCGTATGAAGGTTAACTCGGCCTTGGGTAAGCATTTTGCATAGGAGCTTGAGATTGAGACCCTGAGGCTTTCTATCCGTCGGAGAAGACCAAAGAAAGTTAGGATAGTTCCTCCAACCCGGATTATATGTGGATCTATAAGGGTTGTTTCCTCGGGATTTCCCTCCAACAAAGTTTTCTTGCTCAAATTGCATTGAGGCCTCAATTATATAATTACACTCCTCCATGGTGTGACTCGAATTGCCACACTAATCACATTTCATGAGTTGCTTCCCATTTCCTTTCATTGATGATGCAACTTCATCAATTTTCTTGGAAAGTTCTTGTATATGAACAGCTAACGACGATGGTTCTTCAATTTTCAATAAACTTCCCTTCTTTTCAATCTTTCCTCTCCTTCTGTCCCCCCCCCTCCAAATCGTAGCTATTTAGGGCCCTTTCTTCAATAAATCTTTGAAATTCACCGACTTCCTTGTTCCTTATGACACCTCCACTAGCCGCATCGATGAGGTGGCGTGACTCCCTTGTTAAACCATTATATAACCTTTCCATTTATAACCAATTGGCGATACCATTGTGTGGACATTTGAGTAGGAGAGATGTAAACCTTCCCCATGCTTCAAGCAATTGTTCATCATTCTCTTGACGGAACATAGTAATCTCGCTTCTTATTAGAGTCGTCTTAGAAGGTGGAATGTACCGTGCAAAGAGCTTGTTGCATAGATCATCCCACGAGATGATGGAGTGATGGGGATTATTATTCAACCATTGCTTTGCAACTCCATTTAGAGTAAACCGAATTAACCTCAGATGAATTGCCTCTTGAGGAAACCCGTTCACCTTGATTCCATCCGTCAACTCGTAATATGACTTGATATGTGCATGAGAATCTTCACTCATCATCCCATTGAATTGAACCTCACTTTGGTGCATCAAAATTGTACCCAAATTTATTTCATAGATGTTGTTCGACAGTTTGGGGTGAAGAATAGGTAATTGAACATTATCCACACTTGGCCTTGAGTACAATCCTAATGTTCTAGGCCTTGGTGGAACTTGAGGTTGTTGTTGTTGATCCGCCATTGGTGTAGGTTGATGTCTCATAACTCTTCTTTGATTTTGAACGGTTCTCTCAATTTCTGTATCAAGAGGTAATATCTCCAAAGACTCCCTTCTTTGCATACAAAAGTGCTACAAGACAAAAACTCAACAACCCGTGACGCACAAAGTTGGATAACAAAACAAAAAATGATAAAAACTCTGGAAATAACGCAAACACAAATAAAAGCAAAACAAAGAAAATAAAGGCTAAACTAACAACTCGATGGTTTTCTACTAGTTACCGAGGGTCCCCGGCAACGGCGCCAAAATGCTTCATCGATACATTCCATGAAAGTCATTGTCAATAGTTAGCATGTTTCAATAATTACCCCATCCTAGGCTAAGTATAACCTAGAGAGGTATTGTCATACAGTGGCAATCAAGGTCGTATTCGCTCGGTCCCGGTACCCTAGCCTACTTCCCACGTTGTTATTATCTAGCCGATCGGTTTAAGGGTTTGTGTTGGAGGATTCAAGCAAAATAACTAGTAGAGAGAACAAATAAGAATAACAACAGGTAGTTCGGGGAACTATCCCTCACCCTAGCCTAGGTCTACTATGCAATGTCTAGATAAGCAGGGTTTGTCGAATGTGGTGAGTGAGCTCTTTTCCATGGGCTTTCGTGGTTATTCGCATGCCTCCAAGTACACCTCTCCTAAACCCATGTCAGTAACCTCGATCTAGGCTATCGTATCTAGGGAATTAAGAACATAGCTAATTTCAATGGGTACTACCCACCATCCACACTGTGGTTTTATCCCGGGTTCTATCAAGGAAGACATTCCTATGGCAGGGACACGGTCGCCTCGTCCACCATAAGATCCTATCATACATCTAACCTCAATTTGCTTGATGGCGCATACCTGTCTAACCCTAAAACTTCATACCAGCGTAGAAGCTCTAGTAGGCTTGTAGAGAAGATTAAGGCGACTTACCCAAACACAATCAAAGCTAGAGAAACACTGAAATCAACTAGATAAACAAATTCATTCATTAAAACCCTAAAATATCCATTCATTACATAGTGGCCCTAGAAATAGGGTTTGGAGTTTAGAACCCCTAGTACCTTAGGAGACTACTCCATAAAGGAGGAAAGAAGATACTTAGAAGAGATTGGGGAAGACTTTATATTGAGGAAGGTGGCTCCTCTCTTCTAGCTCCTCCTTCTCCTTCTCCTCTTCTACTTCCTCCAGCTTCTCTCTCTTCTCTCTCTCTCTCTCTAACCAAGAATTCTGTCTCAAAATCAGCTCTTTTGAATGGGGGAAGTGGGTCTTATATTTATAGCATTCAAAGGACGAAGAAGTTCACGACCAGGCAGTATGAAGATCGCGGTCGCGATCTTTCACCTTGAGGCCATGATCTGCCGCCGCCGCCATTTTGGCCTTAAGGAATGAGGGGTTCGCGGGCTGACTTCATGGTCACGATCCATGAAGCACGCCAGCGAACTTCCTCGCGGTCAATGTGAACTGTGGCCATGATCGGACTGAGGAAACTCTTTGTTTCTTCTCGGCTTGCTTCTTTACGAAGTTCACGCCAAAGCCTCCAGATTCGCGACTGCAATCTTAGGCTCTGAGGCCGCGATCTTTGCCTTGAGTTTGCAGTCTGTGTTCTAGGCTGTGATCTCCATCTCCAGGTCGTGATCATCAACATTCTGCCCCTTTTACTACACTTGTGTCCTTTTTCGTACCTAATTCACATGTATAGTCTAAAGCACTCTAAAATCACATCATAATCAAATAAGAATGAAATAGGGATGCAATCGACGCTATTCAAACGATTATGCACATGAATTAGCACGAAAAACCTAAACATGAAGGGAAAATAACGCCAATTTATGTGTTATCACACTACCACCATCTTTTTCTTCCCTTTGTCTTTGTGTGCGTCAAACGCCCATAGTATGTTGTCTTGCTCCTTCATTCATTCCTTCACAAAAGAGAGCATTTGACTGATATTGTTTTGCATTTCAGATATTTTTCTCCCATGAATCTTGAATCTATAGTCGATTTCCATTTCATTATTCACTCCAGGGGACAATCTACGCATCGTTCTGTTTTCGGTAACTCCTTTCAAAGGGGTCGTGGACTCTCCTGCTATCAAACTAGGAAATTGTGATCTCTTCAAATGCTGCCACACGATGGGCGCTAAATTGTTTAAGCTCAAGAACTACTAGGCGGGATTGAAGCCGCTCATGTTGAGACCATGCCTTACCCTCTAGTGGGGATGAAGGGCTCCTACAAAAGGGATCCGGAGGCGGGGGCCTTCGATACTCTCCAACAATCAAGTTTTTTTCCTTTTGATAAACATATCTGCCAACTTTTATTAATCAGAAGTGTTTGGTGACATGAAATCATCTTGCAAATAAGAGCAGAAAGAAACTGGTGGTCTATCAATCCAAAACTCCTCTTCTTCCCATCTGCATTCTGTATGGGCCATGATATGGCTGGCCGGTTTGCATCTCAACCCACAAAATTCCACTCCACCCCATTTAATAACTCGACTTCATCTTTTATCTCACTACAAACCCGACCCACCTCAAGATTGTACGAGAGTGAGCCAGGTAGGTGCTTCTCAACCACCTGGCAATCCATTTCAATCGTTCCTGGGAAAATGTGGATACACGACACCATTTCCAAACCAAAAGCCACCGCCATAGCCTCTGCCACCTCAGGAACCCAAAGGCGACGAGTTATTCGCACTGCTAGCAGACGAAAACGACCTTCCTTATCCCCACCAACACGCCCAGGCCAGTGCCCCGCTCTGGGCAGACAGGTTGTGTCAACATTGATCTTAAATTTCACATGCACGGGGGGTTTCCATCGAGCACGAATTTTGGGTCCGGATTCAAGGTTCTCCTCTGCAATTCCAGGTATTCATCAAGCCATACATCTGCCTTTGCCATGATTTCCCATTCTTCCATCCTCCACCTTCGCCTGCAATTCACAAAACCATTCAGGTCAATTCCTCACCTTGTATGAATAGCTGATTCATAGGACTAGGGCGCCAGACTCGTCGAACCCAACCACACTCCCTGAATATATGTTCTTGTGTCTCTCCAACAATCAAGTTAGTAAATTTTTATCAACCAATTATGTATGAAAGTACACTTTTTTTTTTTGCTACATAGATATAATTAATAGCTTATCATTTGGATCTCAACACCTATGGACATTACACAACTTAGTGACCAATAGTAGTAGCCTTAAAATATTCTTTATTTTTAGTCTTGGGAGTCTATGATTAGTATGTAGTGGCGACTGGCGATTAAGAAATACGACGACTATTCGTTAGATAAATAAGCAACAACTATTTTCCATGTAAAGATGGAGTGCAGACCATTTGGGGGACCTACAACCCACCCATCAACCACCAAATAAGTGCGGATATGAAATTTATTGATCCACAATTCACCCACATCAATCAATCATCTATCGTAGTTTGGATTATTTGCGGTTGGATCGATGTCAAACAGCGGATAATAGTTAGTAAATACTCCATTTAATACACGTATATATACCCGTACGTACTTTATTCGTTTAAAACTTCTGTATCCGTATTATTGTCAAGCCGTTTCATTAGTTTCCGTTCATTTGACGGCTCCCGTACTAAACACGTATAAAACCTGTATAACACGTTTAATATCCGTATTTAATGAAATAAATTATTAACTTTACTATTTTTTACATATTTATTTATTTATAAAATAATTAATTTTATATATTTATGACTATTAACGTACTATTAAACGTAACATTAGCTAAGAAGCAAAGTATAATATCCGTAAAATAAGTATAATACACATACGTATTTTATACCTAACTTTCCCGTACCGTATTTAACTCCCCGCCAAATCTCACCGTTTCGCTTTACTGTTTGAGCTTCGCTGTCTTCTACCATCCTAATACAGTATAAAAACTTGTCTGCAACTGAATTTTAAAGGGTTTATGAAATTTCCGATCTCCACAGATTACAGATGAAGAGAAGGGTTAGAATTAGCAACTGGTGATGATGATTCGGTCGGCGTTCAGACTATCCCGTGCAGCAACCACTGTCGTCAAGATTGCGCATTCGGGATTCAACTCTCGCAAGCCAACAACTTTCGCTCCGTCGGCGGCGGCATCACGGTCGCTTCACGAGAGAGTCACCAGTCCCAATGCCAACCCAGTTACCATTCAGATGATCGACTACGCTCTCTCCCTTCCACGTGCTCAAAAGTCGGGTACTTTTCAGTTTTCGTCAGTTAGTTTCCATTTCTACTTCCGTCTTTTTCGTCTCTGGGTTTCCTTAAGTGGGCTGTCAATCAGATGAATCGTATGGGGAAGCTATGCTGGTGCTGGAGCAGTGCCTGGCTTCGCAGCTAAGTGGTGGTGAAGATTTTGTGTCCCAGAACTCCAAGGGAATGGTCCTACTCGCCATGGCCAATCTCTCGTTTGAAAGGTTCAGGCTTTCTAACCTAGTAGTAGTAGTAGACTAGTAGTAGATTTTGTGGATTAGTTCTGTCCTGTGTTGTTCATGTTGGTTTGGTGTCGATGGTTAGGGGGAACTTCAACGAGGCATTGGAGCATCTACGGAGAACACATGAGCTACAGAAGGCATCTTTGGGTGTTAAAGGTTGGAAGTTTCACTTCTGTTAGGTACATTTTAAAGAGAATTTTTGATACGACAGTTGTAGTTGTGCTAAGTTGCAGTTGCTGCCTTGGAAGCTCTTGTTGGACTGAGCTTGGAGTTGGGGAATGTAAGTCGTCTAGACAATTTCTTACATCTCCCTTTGTAATTGGTGAATTTTTGTTTTTGTTACGCCGGATTCAGAATTTACCTGGAGATGGTTCTTTCTTATGTAGGATGATGCTTCATCGGTGCTCGCAGATAAATGTTCAGCTCTGTTAGTTTTAGACGAGTTAGCCAGTACCGGTGCTGGTTTAGAGGTTGCAGATGCTCGTGCAAAGGCACTCAAAGGTTTTGTTGAGTCTATTCGTGGCAATTTTAAAGCAGGTTTGTTGCTTTTTAATGGCTTTGCTTGATTGAGGTTCTAATATATGGTCTAATTTACTCAAACTCATGGCTGCTTGTTCATAGCTGAATCACACTTTGGAGGATTACTGGGAAATGATGACTGTGTTGGTAAACATCTCATAATTGTAAATTTTAAGCCATATTGGATTATGCATTCGGCGACTGCATTGCTGATATAATAATTTATAGGGTCTGCTGCTTTGTCATATGGAGAATTCTTGCACGCCACACGAAATTTCACAATGGCAAAGGAATTGTATCAGAAGGTTACTGAAGGAGAGGCTTATAACAAAGAGTTCAATGACCGCAATGCATTAACAGCTTGCAACATGGCTTCAGATCAAGTTCAGATAGCAGCCACTTGTGCCCTGGGACAGCTTGAAGCACACATGGGGTACCCTTTTATTTAGTTGTGCTTCTTCTCGTCTAACACAGTTCCTTTAGATATATTTTATTATATGGTTTTTCCATTAGACATCTGATATCCGTTTTCAGGAAATTTGATGATGCGGAAGAAACATTAACCAAGGCACTGAACAGGGTTGAGTTATTATATGGTGCATCCTTTCGAATTGTCTCCTTTTGGCGTGCATAGATTTCCTAGATATCTTGTTTATCTCATTCATTATCTGCTCTCTTACTGTGATTTTAGGTCCTCGGCACCCTAGGGTTGGAGTAGTCTTGACTTGCTTGGCACTCATGTTCCGGCAGAAAGCAACACAAGAGCACTCAAGCTCTCTCTTGATTCAGGAGGTCTCAATTCCGACATTCAATATCTATTGTCTTACAATCCATTATATGACTATATCTGTCACCAGCTTATAAGCCATTTGTACTTTGGCATTAACTCTGATGATTCACTCACTTGCTTTGATATGCACAGGGACTCTATAGAAGAGCAATCGAGTTGCTGAAAGTTCCATCAGTTGATTCTGAAGGTACCGAGAGTTTTTTATTCTCTTTCTAGGTCCCTGTCCCAGTTTGTTTTCAGCATATTAAAATCCAAAATTGATCTTTTGAATTGCCCTAGTTAATCAAACAATGGGAGCTTGGAGGGACATCGCCGCCCTTGCAAGAGGTAGGTTTTGAACATTTTCTCATATTTGTTCCGAGATTGTTTTCTCGTTTATGGCGCACACAACATAGTCACTCCAGATTGAGCCAATTAAGAAGTGGGATTTCGTATGACAATGCAGCTGGCTACGCAGAAGCACTTAGTGTCCAAGATAACAGAAAGAGTGAAGGAGAGAAGATGAAAAGTTGGGCAGAAGCTCATTGGAGAAACAGTCGCTTATCTCTTGCCGAGGCACTCAGAGTCACTGAATCCTCCAACAGCGTTCCTGTTATAGATGCTCGAACTGGTAGAGCTCTGTAACTGTAAGGTCTTGTTTGATAAGCAAAAGAATAAAAGCTGGATGCTGCTGTTGTAGTGTTGTACATCAAAATGATACCATTAAAGACATCTATATGAACGTTGAAGAAAGAACCTTTTCTGTACTAATAAGTAAAAACACCCTTATTGTACATCCTCCCAGAAAGTTGCATCCTAATTTGTTAATCCAAAGTACAAAGGCGAGTCCCTTCTACAGAGGAATGAATATCCAGACCCTTCCCGATATAAACTCCAATCACTTCAAGTATGCCTTCGTTAATTATCTGCATTATCAAAATCAGAGCAGTCAGAATTGGGGAAGTTCATTTCTCTATGCAGCCAATCATAGGGAGAGCGAACAATGCTCTTGTTTACCAGTTCGACGATGAAAGTAATACGATCCTAGGAGGGTTGTAATCCAGAATCGTGCAGCTAAGGAGTTCTCGAACCTTGAATTGGACTCACTCGAACAAGAACTCCACAAAACAGGGTCTAGAATTTGGTGTTGGGATGGGAGTTCCGTGCAATTCTCACAACGGGAGAAAGGCTTGAGAACTATTGGTAGAAGCCTGGCCACAAACAGCGTGATTAGCTGAACGATACAAGCACTCGATCGCTTGGAAAACCCTAAGCAACCAACTTAATTCATCAAGCAACAAGCAAGATGAATCAAAGCTTTATTTTGCATTCGATTGATCAAAAAACTGAGTTGACAATGCAATTGAATGATCTTAAGTAGACCTAGGCTAGCTAACAAACTAATACCAAGTTCCAATCACAAACAAACTTGGAAATTGAACTCAAAACGGAAAAGGTAAAGAACTCTAGTCGCAATCCTAATCCGAATAGGATTAGGATTCTTGATCAAGCAAGGCAGTTTCTTCGGGCTTCGTACGATCTTGCTGGCCCTCGTTCGAAGTCCTCCAATCTTTATTCCAGTCATCCAATGCTTCTAGGTTGTAGTAGAAACCCTCTATTTACATGTGGTATAGCCCTCTTGGATAGATTCCCCTCCATCTTCCTCGAAGAAGCCTCCAAAGTCGGGTACTAAAACTGGTTCCGACACTTGGCCAAATCCTGGCTGTTTTCCTGTTTTGATGGAGGATTTTGGTGAGCTTGGAAAATGACCTTCCTGGCTTCTCCTTGAGCATCCAAGCTTGCAAATGTATAAATAAACACTTCTTCTTGCAAACAAGCCATGAATCGTTCATTTCCATCGATCCATTTGTGTCGACGAAGCTTGCAAATTTAGCTTCCTGCAACAGTTAGAACACTTAGACAATTTTCAGATTGTTCCCTTTCACTTGCCCTTGCTTCTTTGACGGTCAATGGAGACTTGGAAAGAAAATAATTTGGGATCATATCAGCCCCCTCCTCAAAAAGTTTTCCCCTCAAAACTTTGGCCTTTCATTGCTCAAACCGATCACAGAATTGATCCCAAATTGGATCTAAAAGGGGCTGCTCAAACTTGAAATTCTGAAAAACTAGATGATTGTTCTTCATGTGCGAAATTGGAGCTTTCGAATTCAGGAATCCGTAGTGCAATTCAAGGCCACCTAAGGCTTCTTCGTGCTTCGAATTGAAGTTCTGGATGGGTCTCGTGATTCAAGTCATCGTTTTTGTCAACAAATCGGCGCCAGCTTCTTTCCCGCCATCTCTCCAAATCCAGAAAGTTCAATCGTGAATTGGGCGTTTTTTTATATAGGGATCTCCGGGCTGGATTGATTCATCCTAGAGCTTCCCGTGATCATATTGAATGGTTCTGCAACAACAGATTGAATCGCATCACTCCCAAGTGTTCCGTCCCATTCACTCGATTTTTCTTCGAGTTCTTCGGTTTCATGGCACTTTCTGGTCGAATTTGATTCTGCAATCCAGATGATTTAGTTCAATTTCCACCATCATTTAAGTTTCCAGCGATGATTTAGAACGTGTTGGCGCTTTCCTCCTGGCTCGACTAAATGTTGTGAGCTGGGCCCATGGGAATCAAAAATCAATTTAACTGGCTGTTGGCTAGGATTATTAATTTGCAGCCATAGTTGATTTCTTCGCCCCAATAAATTAATAAAATGATTTTCTTTTAGTTTGAAAGATTTATGGTGGAAGGAAGGACTAATAATATTGTAGGACATACCAAACAATCTTGATTTATGAAACTGAATTGATAGTTATACTCAAGAGTTAGTAAATAACGGGACCGGATCACCTCAGTAATCGAACCCTCAGTAACTGTCAGTAACCATGTGATCCACCGTCCATCGCACCATCTTTCCAGCCGTCAGATCATGCAAAGTAACTACACGCGGGGGCAAAATAGTAATCACGTATCTGACAATTTGAATTGTAGACGTGACAAAGACATCAACCCGTCCCGCCTTCTCTCCTTCTTTCTCTTACCTTTCAAGCGACAGTTCTACTTCCCTCTACTCTCTAACTCTCCATTCTTCCTCCCGATCCTCAATTCTCTCACCAAAATCGCAGCAAAAACTTATAGAAAAAAACACAAAATAAACTTCAAATCGAACGATTTTTGTAATGGTTCTCGAAGAATCACTCAACGATACACTGTTCTCGCTTCTTCGTCGGAAAACGAAAGGTTTCCAACTTCAACGAGGCTCAAAAATCGTTTTCGCACAAAATATCAAGGTAGAACCTCATTTCTTTCTTCGAAATCCATCCACAGAATAATAGAAACAGTATTTCAGTCACTCTTCATGTGAAAATTGTAGTAAACTCGCTACATTATCGAATCGTTACCATGAGTTGCTGAACTGGTGTAGAATCTGTTGTGTTTTGCTTCGTTACCACATGGTATGGTGTGGTAAGCTATGATTGCATGTTATAAAAAGGCAAGAAACCGTAACTCCTACTGTGTTTTACTTTGTTACCATATGGTAATGTGTGGTAAGCTATGGTTTCATGTTATAAAAAGCCAAGAAACCGTAACTCTTGTTGTGTTTTAGATTGTTACCATATGGTAATGTGTGGTAAGCTATGGTTTCATGTTGTAAAATAGCAAAAAACCATAAGTCCTTCTGTGTTTTAGTTTGTTTCCATATGGTAATGTGTGGTAAGCTATGGTTTCATGTTGTAAAATAGCAAAAAACCATAACTCCTTCTGTGTTTTAGTTTGTTACCATATGGTAAGGTGTGGTAAGCTATAGTTTCATGTTTTAAAATAGCAAAAAACCATAAGTCCTTCTGTGTTTTAGTTTGTTACCATATGGTAGGGTGTGGTAAGCTATGGTTTCATGTTATAAAAAATGGAGGAAACCATAAGTCCTTCTGTGTTTTAGTTTGTTACCATATGGTAAGGTGTGGTAAGATATGGTTTCATGTTATAAAAATGGAGGAAACCATAAGTCCTGTTGTGTTTCATGTTATAAGACATGGTTTCATGTAATTACCATATGGTAAAATGTGATAAATATATGGTTTGATTTGGTATGGTAGGAAACCATTATGGTACCATATGGTATATTATGGTAAAAAGCATGCTAACAGACTATTTCTAATTTCTACATTCAGGTACACTATGGTAAACCAAAGAAAAAGTTTTCGCACAAGGTGCAGCCCAACAAGAGTATCTGCAATTGCAAGGACAATAAAAGATGAGCAGAAAGTGCAACTTGAGATATTAGGCCTAGCAGGCTTAATATCAATCAGGCAGACAAAGATAAATAACCATTTTGCACTGTTCGTAATGAACAAATACAATCCAATGAAAGAATCGTTCCAGCTACCTGACGGGACACGCATGAAGATATCACCAATCGACTTTCATAGGGTATATGGTCTGCCGATGGGGAATAAGGAAGTTGTACCTCCCATGATTTCTTGGGACGACGCAGCAGATTATGCAATAGAAACCCTACTGGAAGTAGATGGAACATCCACTCCAAGGGTAAAGCTAAGTCAGGTAGAAAAAGATCTTCCTACAACTACAAACACTAAGAGATGGTTACAATTGTTCTTTCTGCTGGTCACCGGAGGCTTGCTGTGTCCAACTTCAGCCCCTATGGCTGAACTCAACATGCTTGAGTACTTGAAGACTGATGAACTGAAACATTTCACCAGCTACAACTGGTGCAAATACTTCTTCAAACACATGAATGAAGGATTGAAATCACCAAACCTCTACATCAGTGCAGATCTTCACTTCCTTACAGTAAGTCTCCATTCCTTGGCCATTTCAACCTTGTTACTCATATATTTTATATATAAATGATACTCTTTGAAAAAACTAATACAACTATCTGCATAAAAAGGTATGCTTCATGTACAAACAGGACGAAATGGCGTTCTCAACCCAGCTTCGAACACCAACAGTAAGCTACTATGATGATCTCAATGTCGAAAGCAACTTTGAGAACATTAAGAGCTACTACAATGGAAAAGAGTTGAACGAGATCGAAAAGGTTGCCAACATTAGTGACGATGAGGCTGATGATGCAACCGATGAGGAAGAGGAGAATGAGCCAGTCTATCAGTCACCGAAAAGACAAAGAAACAAAAGTCCAGACCAGTCATCATCACTGAACTTTGATTTGAAGAATATCAGAACAGTCAACCAAGTAAATACAAATTATCTATATTACAGTTGTCCAATTCATGCTAACCGTAAGTCCTTCTGTGTTTTAGTTTGTTACCATATGTTAAGGTGTGGTAAGCTATGGTTTCATGTTATAAAAATGGAGGAAACCATAAGTCTTGTTGTGTTTTAGTTTGTTACCATATGGTAAGGTGTGGTAAGCTATGGTTTCATGTTATAAAAATGGAGGAAAACATAAGTCCTGTTGTGTTTTACTTCGTTACCATATGGTAAAGTGTGGTAAGCTATGGTTTCATGTTATCAAAATGGAGGAAACCATAATTCTTGTTCTGTTTTACTTTGTTACCATATGGTAAGGTGTGGTAAGATATGGTTTCATGTTATAAAAATGCAGAATAGTGATAATAATTGCCAATACCATGTATTACCACCATGGTAACTAACCATACACCATACACACATTACCACCATGATATCTTACAAAACTCCCATTATGCAGGCTGAGAATGCAATCAAACTGCTTGAAGCATCAATGAAGGCAATGATGAAAGCAATCAAAGACCAGTACAAAAGCCAAATTGACAATCTGATCAGACACAAGGAGAATCTTGAGAAAGAAAGCCGTGATGAATATGTTCAGCCCACAGAAGGAGAAAAATCTCAGTGTGAAGATGATGAAGAAGAGAATGATGAAGAAATGAATGCCAGTTTGGATAAAACACTCAATGAAATATTCAAACAGGCAAAGATAGACCAGAACGAAGAGGAGAACGAGGAGCAAACACAGAAAGAAGATGATTCACAACCATCTACAGTCGATCTTGCTGCATCTACACCGAAGG